AAGCAGCTGATCGATGTTTCTCTCTCATAGATGTTTCTAACTCTCTATTCCTCTCCCTTCCTCTCTGAAATCAATAAAAATATATTTTTAAAGTAAAAAAAATAAAAAATTTGTAAAAAAGATTTTAACGCTTAAAAATCCAAAACATATACAGATACAAAACAACCTGCTCCCGGGGAACAGAGCGCTCAGCTTCTGCCCAAAGATCGCCCCCAGAGCCCCTAGGGGGTCTCTTCCCACCCAATTCCTGCAGCTGCCCTGCCACCACCACCCGCCCTGGGGGCACAGACTCCCCCCCCCACACTCCTTCCCCCTCCCCGCACCGTCCCTCCCCGCCACCACCCCCGGAGGAGAGCTCCGGAGGAGAGCTCGGACTGGGTGTGTTCGAGCTGTCTGAGGAAAACAAAAGGGTCACATAAAAGGCGTTCTCCTTACCTAGGGAGTCCAGGCACGCTCCCTGTAGCTGAGACACATGCGTTCAAGATATTCCAACCCTCTGGCTCCTGGGGCTCAAGAAAGGCCCTTTGGAGGTCTCCCCAACCTTCACCTGACTCGCTGAGGCTCCTGCCGGCCCTGTCCTGGATCGGCCCAGCGGCTGATGACCCAGACGCTCGTGTGGGGAACAGTCGGGGCAGCGGTCAGAGCGGTGATGTGGCCAAGGCTGGTCGCCAGAAGACCTCGGCGGCCGCGGGTGCTCCGACATTAGCTGGGCTTCTCCCCTTTTCCAAGCCAAGCAGCTCTGACCTGTGAACTCAGTTCCCCTGACCCACGCCCCCCGGGCAGGACCAGCTCCCTGGGCACAGGCGGGGCCCCCCCGAAAGCCAGCGCAAACGCCCCCGGAGTTCATGACTCAGCTCGCTGCTGCGCTGGCACCTCAGGTCAGCGAGAAGCGGGGGCCAAGCCGTAGGTGCCCTCACTTGGCGCTGGAAGGAAGGCAGTCTGGCTCCGGCCCGTCTTGCGGAGGCTCCAGCTGTCACAGGGGCAGCTTAATGAGCGGGTGATGGAGAGGGAAATGGTCCCTCTTCTTAACCGGGGGCTGAATCCGGCTGCCTAACTGCACCCCCCTCCCCGCTCCACGCCCTCCCAGCCTGGTCCCCCCGCCGGCCACACCGGGCAGGTGCGGGGGCGGCCAGCTAATGGTCACAGAGAAGCCGTGTCACTCGGCCTGGTGGCCCACAGATGCTGGCCCGCCACCCAGAAGCCCCACACCAAAGGCACGCAGCTACGTCTGCCTCGGAGAAGCACATGGTACTTCAAAATAATACACAATCGTGTCATTCTGGGTGACTAAAAACATTCCCTTCAGAAGATTGTTACCTTAAAAAATATCTAGATTTCTGGCTTCTAACCAAATCGGAAGATCTAGCCCCACGGGCCTAGGTTCTGTGTGCTACTCATCAGCCAGCGGGTGTGTGCGCTCAGTCCATGCACTCCCCACCACCCCCTATTGCCCTTGACACTGGAGCCAGTGAAAACCTTAGTTTGTGCCCGGCCGGCGTGGCTCCGTGGCTGAGCATCAACCTATGAACCAGGAGGTCAGGGTTTGATTCCTGGTCAGGGCACATGCCTGGGTTGTGAGCTCAATCCCCAGTAGGGTGTGCAGGAGGCAACTGGTCAATGATTCTCTCTCATCACTGATGTTTTTCTCTCTCTCTCCCTCTCCCTTCCTCTCTGAAATCAGTTAAAAACATATTATAAGGAAGAAAGAAAGAAAGAAGGAAGAAAGAAAGAAAGGAGGAAAGAAAACCTTTGTCACCCCTGACGACTGTTCCCTGACCTGGGTTTTGGCTTTTTTCATCTGTGTGTGGACAGGGGTGGCCAGGGGTGGCCAGAAGGGACGCCGTGGCCATTAGGATGCCTGGAGGGCCGCGTGCAGCAGGGCCAGGGCCTGAGAATCAGGCTGCTTACCCCTTGGGAAGCCCCTCCATCACTGCCCACTGACTGCCCCACCTTCCAGCCAGCCCAGCCTGGGGAGCCCCATGCTTTGCAGGCCTCACAGGGGCTGAGGCTTCTTCAGGTTCCACCTGCTCTACCAAGGGGGCCACCCACCCCCACCTGCTCTACCAAGGGGGCCACCCACC